ATTAAAACTTTGGTCAATATTTTCATCATTTAAAGATATTGCATAATTTGGTTTTACTGTAAATATTATCTTTTGATAGACTAAATTTCCTACAACTGTTCCTGATAGAGCATCTATAGGATCTTGTAAGATTCTATTATCCATACAATAGATTTCTATTGGTATATTCATGCCTTCTCTAAAGAATCATTTTACCATTATCTGGACTCCTCCTAATTCAATACATTTCAATTTATTTCTTACATTTTCTGGGATTTTGGATAATTTTTGTTTTACCCATTCTTTTGTAATTATAGGAATTCTTGCCTTTCCTATAGTATCTTCTATATTGATAGACATTTCTTTATAGTTCATACTCACAATTGTTTTATTTACTCTTGGTAGAATTCCTAAGAATCCTTGATGGAATACATCTTTTTCTTGTAGATCTAATATCTTTTTAGTGATTCCTGCATATTTTTTAATATCAAAAGTAATTTCCTGATTAATACCTTCTATAGAATCTTCGACTTCTTCAGTTATTTCAATTTCTATTTCTGATTGTTCTATCTCCTGATTCATATATACTATCTCATTATAATCTTCTTCTGATGAGGATGTGTCTAATTCATAAATGCTACTACATTCACTGCTTAAATCTTCAAAATATTCAATTGGTTCTATGTCACTATCTTCTTGAAATTTTTCATAAATCCTAAGAGTTTTTATATTTTGTCTGTCTTTCTTTTTAGGACATTGAGGGGCAATATGTCCTTCTTTATTACAAATAAAACATCTACATTTCTTAATGTTTCTTGGTTTAGATTTCTTATTCCAATTTCTTTTCTTGAAATATTTTTTATATGGTTTAAAATTCCTTTTATTGAATTTTTTATAATTTTTGAATTTTCTTTTGTATTTTCTATATGGTTTATATTTCTTCCTATGACATCCAAATTGTTCAATTTGGCCATTATCTTTATAACAACATAATGAATTCTTTCTTATTTTGTAAGCCTTCTTATTTTCTAGTTCTTCTCTGCACCACATACCTATCATTCTTCTTGTAAATTCAATTCTGCTTCCAAGGCTATCTATTTTAACACCTTCCTCTCCTCCTAGAGGTAGTTATTTCTCATATTCTTTTAATAACTTAATTCCCCATGGGAATGGTAACTTTGTAAAATAAGATCTTAATATAGGTTTATTTTCTTGATAATCTCCTTGATTAAGTATATAGTATAATTCTTCAAATTTACAAGTATATCTTTCTAATTCACACATATCACATATTTTTAGATTTTCCATTGCTATCATCCCTTGATTATATTCATCTTGTTTTCTTTCTTCTTCATTAGAGGTATACCTATCTCCTAAAAATTCTGTTCTTAAGATTTTCTCAAATCTTTTTAATATCCCCTGTATATTTTGTTCATTTAGAGTATTTCTATTATCTAATACCTCAGTTCTATTTGTTCCATATTTTATTCTTCCTTTAATAATTTCTGGTAACTTTCTCCACCATTCAGAAATAATTCCTCTGAATGTATGTTCTATAAATCCGAAAGTTGTATATGTTTCCCATTTATTAAATTGTATTGCTAAATCTGTACTTTTCATCCATGTTTCAATAGCTTTATTTTTATCTACACAATCTAAATCTAACCATACTCCTGTAGTGTAGATTGGTTCATTATAGGATTTTATTGGATTTATTTCTTTTTTGGATTGTTTTCTTACATTTTCAGTGTATCTTTTCTGTGTTTTTCTATATTGGTTAATGCCATCCTTAAGTGGTATTGTAGTACCATAAGGATAATCTTGTTCTTCATCACTACTAAATTCTACTTTTATATTTTGACTTGAAGATGGATTAGTATTTATTTTTATATTTTCCATTTTTTCTGTTAATTCTTCTAACTGTTTTTTATATTCTACATACTCTTCTTCTGTAAATTCTAAGAATTTTTGTTCTATTTCTTCTACATCTGTTATCATATATTGTTTTTCTTCATGTTTTTCCCTTTATTATTTTCTTTTTGTGTTATCCTAAAATCTTGAGGTGGATTAATTATAATCCTATCTTTTCCCTTAAGACTTTTATCTAAAAGAGCATTTCCTATTTGTAGATTATGTTCTAGATTTTCTAGTCTTTTATGTATATCTCCAAAATTTTCATTTGTGGTGTTTTTAGGCAAATAAGGATAACTAGGTTTTTTATGTTTTTCAACTTTTTTCAAAAATTCTTCAATTATATTTTTTTCATCTACTATATTCATCATAATTTTTGGTTCGTAAACTGGCTCTGATACCATCTCACAGAAGTGTGCAGCGGAGGGGTTTTTAAACCAATTAAAATCTTTATAAGTATTTAAAATGTCACAATAAAATTTATAAAATTTACTATTTTTTATTAATACTTTTTCTTTGATGATTTTATTTAATTCTTTAATTCTTCTTCTTAGATTAAGAATTAGTTTGTATATATCATTTTCTGTTTTGATTGTATTATTATCTATAGAAACATTTTTATTTTTGAATTTTGGATCTAAATATTCTGTAAAGAATCCTTTTAGTTCTTCTTCTAAATATTCTAATTCACTTTCTGTCGCATTTCTTAGATCAATAAAATTTTCTATAATATTTGAATTTAAATTAATTAAAGATTTTTGGTCTATATTTTCTTGGGGACCTATTTGAAGGTTTTTATACGTTGTTAAATAGGGATGTAAATTGGACTCGTCGGCTCTGGTGGCCTGTTGCCCGGCCTTGGAAAAACCATAGCCGATCTGGGCTGAGACTTGGGAAAATCGAGCCCCATTTTGGGGCATTGGCTCGAGCCGGAAAAAGTAAAAAATAAAAAAATAAAATTAAAATGGCTTGTTAAATATGCTACCTTAAGGCAATACATTAGCTGTAAGCTAAGGCAAAAGATAAATGCCCGTTTAAGGCAATTTTATAGCTGTCTTAATAGGCAGCAATTTGATCATGTAGAAATTCAATTTGAATTCAAAAGATTTGATTTTTTGTTATAAATATGGGTTAAATTTCTTAGTTTCATATCAATTTTAACTTGCAATATTCTAGTTTCAAGTTTCAACTTCAATCTCTAATTTCTTTACTCTAATATTCAGTATTATTTGTTATAATAATTACAAAATATAGATGGGTTTTACTAGTGATGAGATTAATCAATTTAAGAGTAGTTTAAGAACTCCAGCTGGCTACGATGCATCTCAAAATGTTCTGATTGATTTGGAGGATATTGAAGAGGAAGAAGTACTCAAAACTACTAAAAGGTCGAAAAAAGAATCCTCATATTGTTGTCAACATATAACACATAAAAATATTGGTGTTGAAAATGAAATTGATATTTGAAAGCATGTTTTAATTATTGTGGCAAAGAACTTAATTGGAAGCTTGGTTTAAGCATATTGCATTTAAATAGGCACATATTGAGAAGTTGTAAAACGAAATTAGTAGGTCTTGACCCAAAACAAACCTAACTAATGTATGACGGTTCCGATTCTACTTTTTCCACATTTGTACATTCATAAGAAAGATTTCGTAAAGGAATGGCTACAACAGAGATGCCGCTTACGATGATCGACTCAACTCACTGTATTTGACTCATGCAAAATTATTTCCAACTCAGGTATACTGCTTATTGTAGAAATACTCTTCGTTCAAATACTATGAAATTATTTAACAAAAGAAAATAAGTTACTATTGAACAACTAAAAACTTTTAATAGTGTTATATCATTTTCCTCTGATTTGTCGATCGGTGTTAATAAAAAATGTCATATTGTTGCTGTGGCTCATTATATTGATCACCTATGGCTTCTACGTTAAAAGATTATTGCATTCAAATGTGTAGAATATCCTCATAATGTAACTAATATATACATGATTTAAAAAAATATTATACAAGAATATGATATGCAAAAAATGGTTCGAAGTTTACTTTTAATAATGTTGGTATGAAGAAATTTGTTATCGATAAATTTATTAATCATAAATATTATTTTGCTTTTCTCATCTCGTTTATTGCTTCACTTTTATGGTTCGAACAAACTCGTTATCCATATTAATTATAAATATTATTTGCTTTTCTCATCCTGTTTATTGCTTCGTTTTTTTGCAATTTTAACGAGTTCTTGTCTGCCTTGGGAGATGAACGAGTCACTTTGCTTGTGCCACCCAAGTATAGGAACACAACCACATTCCAATTTCAACAAATAAAAAACACCTTAAAAAAGAAAAGAAAATAAGCTAATGGACGTTGACATGTGATGATGTTACATGATGTTCGGAATTGATTTTGTCCCGCCAGATTAGGAGGCGAGATCGAAAAATTTATGAAAAAAGCTCCCTACATAGGCGCATTTGCACAGGCCTGTTTAGGAGACCTGTGTAAATGAATTGTGCAGGTAGTACAACTAAAAATTTATAGATTGTTTAAATTTTATTTTCAATAGGCTCATTTGCACAGAGCCTGTACAGGGGCCCTGTGCAAATGAGTCTGTGTAGGTACCATAGCTGAAAATTTGTAAATTGTTTAAATTTTATTTTCAATTAGACATTTCAATAAATCCACAAATA